TCGCGCGCCACCGGGATGAATGGACACTTTGTTTAGATCCAGCTCTAGAGCGCACAAACTGATACAATGTATCGCCCGCTTCTGCTGCTTTACTGCTTTACTGCTTAACGCGACTGCTGTTTAATCGCAACGCCGTGTTTATTTGTGAGTCTGGGTGAAGAGCCGGGTCTCTCAGCACACAAGCTGACTCGCACATACCTCCTCCTCGGTACCGGTGTCGCGCTGCTCGGCTCGGACCGGGGCGCCTCGGCTTTGCACTCCTGCGCAGCGACGCTCGCGTTTTCATCTTCTGGCCGTTTCTGCAAATGTCCGGCTATGATCCTGAGTCTCTGCTGTGCGCTGCTGCTGTTTGACGCCATGCTGCTTCCGTGTTTGCTGTCAGAGGTCAGCGGGCGGCTGATGGAGATCACACCCACGTCCCGTCATGCACCGCGCTCCGCCTCCCTCCCCGCGCGCTCCGCTCCGGTGCGCTATTACTGACTGGAATACAGAGGATTTCCCTTCAAATAAATCCTAAACCATGCTGTTTATTTTTTGTTAGTAGATACCACTTTTTCAGTATCTTATCTCTAATAATACCAGAAAAAAAAAAATAATAATAAAAAATAAATATATATATATATATATGATAGTATTTAGGTGTTTGTTTAAATACATATTTAATCATTCTAAAATAGCAATTCTACAATAATAATAAAATAAGGAAATCGTCAAAAATATGAAATAACAAACTATATATAGGCTATATAGTGCTGGTAACTGATTAAGTAGCCTAATCAAATACAAAATCTGATTCCAAACATTATAGTTGTAATTAGATTATATTACATTTAAAATGTAATCATTCTAAAATAATAATTCTACAATAATAATAAAATAATGAAATCGTCAAAGATATGAATTGACAAAATATATAGGCTATATATAGGGCTGGTAACTGATTCAGTAATCTGTAAGTAGCCTACGTACTTACAAATATTATAGCTGTAATAGGTTATTATATAGCTATTAGATTATATTACATTTGAAAATGTCATATGTTATAGCCTATGTTAAATGCATTTTGATGACATTATTCACACAGTGGCAATTATTCATAATACATCAAAATATATACATTTTATTGTATTTTCTATCATTTCATAGTTTGTGTTCATATTTTAAATAACTCTAAAATAATAATTGTAAAATTCTACAATAATCGAATAATTATATATACATATATACATGTGTGTATGTATACACACATATATAATAGTAGTTTTTATTCATTTTGATGACATTATTCACACAATTATTCATAATTTAATAATTTATGAGTCAGTTTAACCATGTGTTATGTCTTTGAAAAGCTTCAATGTTTAATGCACAATACAAATTCTTTTATTTATAATTTTTTTTGTAATTTTTCATATCAATATAGTACACAATAATGCTAATCAAATCTATGTGATAAACGAGTTAGGTCAAAAATAATCTAAAAGTAATCCAAATGTAGTCAGAATACATTCTAAACAGCAGTTTGATTTAGCTTGTAACAACAACAAACCACTTTTGCCACATTTTTCGTGTTCCATAAAGAACCTTGCTTTGAAATTGCAGGTGTGAAGAACCATAAATCACTTCAACATAAAGGGGTTCTTCAGGTATACTAAACTCTTGGATGCCAAAGATAGTCATTTTGAATAAATGCATCTCTGAAAGAATATTAAATGATCAGAAATTGACATGAAAGCATCACATTCAGAAACCATACTTAATGAGACATATGTCAGCAGTCCGTCAATGTGTTTATAAATGATTATTCTGAACTTATGCTAAGCACCCTCATGGGTTAAATGGGATCTGTGCCGCT